GATGAAATTTGAAGATACCAAATCAGAAGGGAACACTTTCGAAGTGCTTCACTTCAGTAAACGATTTTCAAGGGTGAACTTCGGAGAATGAGTTTACAAGGGGGTGAAAATTTGTAATTTGAAAGTAGTTTATGAGGCGCGTACGAGGAGACTGATGCGTTAAGGGTGCAGCAACGAAGCGCAAATAAGGGAAGTTTAATCCGACCTCGTCACGGTTGTCATCTAATTTCCAAGTTTTACGAAACAGATAGCAGGGTGCAGTCTTAATTAGTACACGGAAATCGATCTTTCAATTTACTGAGGAATTGTATTCAATTTACGAATCATCAATTTTCTGATTATTATTAATATTTATAGAAACTTGTAACGGTAGTTAAAAAGAGAAACTTTGAAACAGCGATAAAACAAGAGTCGTAAAGTAGCGATAAATGGCGAGGAGGAAGCAAAGGCTTTCAACCGTGTCCCATGAGCTTCTCGTCGTTTTCGCAGAGAATAATCCGCGAAATAATCATCCAAAAGCCGCAAGTTCGTCGGGATGGGGTTGAAAGTTGCTCGTCGCCCGGAAGTTTCTCACGAGAGACGCTTTATTAATGCTTCCTGGAAACGCTTAAGCATCCTTGAAATGCTTGGGTCGTAAGTTTTCTTCTTGTAACAGTGTATCGTCGAACGAGTCGCTAATTATCGGTAATTGAATCGCGTGCAGGTCAGATAACCATCAAGCGTTTTCCTAGCATATTACGGTCTTCCAAATTTAAAAGAAAAACATCATGCACCCTTTATGACAATGTTTTTTACATAAGACAATTTTTCGCTTAATTTTCAGGATCCTTTTGGCTCAGTAAATTAGAGTGATCCACTATTTTTTCATTATTTTTAATTATAGGAAAATTGTAAATTCTTTTTCAGGTGATTTTGATCGGCATCTTTCTCGAGCACAGTCTCGCTACACCCATAGCGAACGTTTGGCTGAGTCCCATAGGATCTTTGACGCCATTGAGGCAATTTCACATACAGGATGGCGCCGGGGGATATCATTACTCATTCACGGGGCCTCATCACGCCAAATCGGAATCCAGCTTGAACGGAATTACACAGGGTGGTGAGTGATCGTAATTGACCTTTGAATGCTTCTCATTCGTCAATGCCATTTTCATGATCAATCATCATTTTTTTATTACCTTAACCCTTTGATTAGCCATAAAATTCTACGTAATTTATTATATCAAAGGTGGTTATAATTTAACGCTTTAAAAGTCAAATTTGTTGCAATGGAAATGAATGATTTTGGGTAATTATCCCTCACCATTTCAGGCTTCTATGATTTTGAAATTCTAAAAAAAATATTTGACCATTTTTATATGTATATGCAAAGCGAGGAAATATCAGAATAAGGATAGACACGGACAGGTTAATTCGCAAGCGACGTTTCTATCCGGTTACTCGTGAATGGCACACATACCTTTCGAGACAGACACCCACGCTCGCGAACGACCACATTAGAAACGATGATCGATGTGATGCAACGTAACGCCCCTGCAACGAATCCATCTTCGCGTCGACTCGTTTTAAATAATACATTTTTATCGTGTCCTTTTCATCGTACACATTCGTATAACCGACCGCAGCGATCCATTTTACCGTACGATTTATATTTTCACCTCCCCTCGCAGGCTATTCTTACGTGGACGCAAATGGAGTACTGCAAACGGTGACTTACACCGCGGACGATGAAAATGGGTTCAGAGTGAGCGCGAGCAATCTTCCGCAACCACCGAAAAATCACCTCCAAACTGTTCAAGACACCCCGGAAGTGGCCGCGGCGAAGAAGAACCATTTGGAGGAGCTGCAGAAGTCGCAGCTGAGGGATCAATCGAACTATCAATCGAATATTTTGTCCTACAAGATTCTACCCTCCTATTTTAGCGTTGCTCAATTGGAAAATGATAACGAGAAGAATTTGGCTGTTCGAGAGATTTCAGTAAGTAGAATTTTTCTTTCGACGATTCTCAAAGGTATAAAACGTCCTTTCGCGCGTTGCGCAAATGAAATTTAACTTTATCAACGCCCGACCACTTGCAGGAAACAACATTCGCGTTAATATGTACGGACTCGGAATCAGTTCGACGGGCGGTTTCCGGCGGTGGCCACGGATTCCTATTTACCGTTCCGCGCGTACACATTTTATTAACGTTACGATGAATACGAGTTTCGGAAACTTGTTCAACACGGAAAGTTTCGACACAGCCATTGGGGAACGCTTGATTTCCCCTAATGTCGGATAGAAATTTTCAATCTCTACCGAATTTTACTTACTCGTTTTCAATTAATTTCTCGATGACACTCGAAATTCTAATTAATATTTGGAGAATTAAAATTGAAGAATCCTTTTATGAGAAAAAATTTTAATTCTTAATTTATGCATCATTTTTCAGAGTACCACCAAAAATCCGTTTCTTCTACCAGCCTCCGAGGCTCAGAGGATCAAAGTCCCTAAACCAGATAACAGTCTCTTAAAATCATCGCCAAAAAATCCATCGTCCATTCAATCAGCTCATCAGAGGAAAAATGAAATTGTTCAGGAGAACACCCTGCAATCAGGCAAACTGGTGACACTGAACAGCGTTCAGAGGCCTGTGGCTGTTCCTGGATCCTACGTACTTCCGGTTTTACCCTACAGACTGCTTCACAGCGCTCTCCATCACACTCAAGATTCCTTAGGCCAGTACGATTACACTTATGCTGGTGATTCTAGCGCGAAAACTGAATCCAGGTCTTTGGACGGTACTACGAGAGGAGCTTACAGTTACATCGACCCCAATGGCATTTTGCAGCAGGTCCATTACGTGGCCGACCACAACGGTTTCAGGGTTTTGGCCACCAATTTACCGGAAGCTAAATAAAGACACGCTCGAGGAAAGGAAATTCCGAGTTTCTTTCGTCCGAAAGCGGATTAGGATTTCAGATGAAAATGAAGAAATTTTGTTTTATTACCTCGAATGGTTGGAATAAAAAATATTATTAATTATTGTAATTAGAAGCATCAGAAATGTGGACTAAGGAATGGAATTTGAAAATGAAGGATTTTAATGCAACTTTGATTGAAAAAGTTTTGGAAAAATCTGTGGATCTTAAAACGTACCATTAGAAGATCATTTGAAACTTTAGACGCAATCAATTTATTTCCAAGAAATTCCAGGAAGATTTTTATCACGGTAGCCCCCTGTTAGATCGAAGATGAATGCAAAGGTGTACGAGGGAAAGGAAAACTTTCCTCGTTCCTTTCCTGATGATTGAAAGTCGACTTTCTTTCCCTTTTTTTTCCCCCCTTCAACTTTTACCATAGAGTGTACGTGATCAAAGAATCCTAATAATTTTCGATCCATCGCGAAACCCGTTTCTTACCGTTGGGTGCTCCAAGGGGTGCAGGGTAATCAAACTTTCCGAATGCTTCTCGAGTTCGTTCCATCGCGGTTACGCGTTCGTGAACCAACAGGGAACGAACTTAATTCGTATTCGTTTCTCGCTGTTAATCGCGTCCGGTGGTTAAGAAAATTTACACTTGAATAAATTATTCTTTACCTGCCACGTGAGTTTATTTTATTTCCCCTACTTAACGCTTTCCTCGTTGCACCGGTTACTTCAAAATTAATCAACAAATTGATTCGCTTCCAAAGTAGAAATAGCCAATTTAATTAAATTTCTGTAAATGGATAAACGGAAGAACATATTAAATTGTAGAAAATCTGAGCTTCGAATAAAAATTCATAGTTGTTAAATGGAAGCAATAACATCTAAAGCTTTAATACGTCGATTTAATCTGGCTAAAAGGGGTGGTTCTATTCATCGATAGCATCCCGATAGAGAACCGTTCTCTATAAACTGAAGTTATCGAAATTTAACGTAATAAAAGGGGTAATCGAGCAGCTAATTACACAACTTGTATTCCCAAACAGGCTTTCAGAATTCCTATTCACCTTTCGAGTTCGCTAATTTACTTAACAGTCGAATTGACTGCCCTTTTCGGACCTTCGTTCGAGCTCTGTTGAAACAACGAAAGGGAGGAGGCTTTGAGGTCGAGGTTGAAAATTTAATGAAACGAAAGGGAACTCGAATCGTTTGCCTGAACTCTGTTCACGCTGACGATTAAACGAATGATTTCCTTTGATCTGAAATCATAGACACGAATCTGGGGTGCAACAACGATTAATTAATTATTGCTTCTCTCCCATCATTCGAGTTTCTTTTGAAACTTTTATGCTACTCTTAAAGAAACTTTTTTTAAATTGATTTTATACCGTGTATTAATATAAGCAACTCGTGACCATACGAATCGTCGTTATGTAATTGTAGCCAGTTTTAGAGGAGATCAATAAATTACGATGTTCAATCTAATACTGCGCACTCGTAACGCTTTCCCACCTGTTATTCAACTAGAATCTATGTATCTTTACCGGGGATTGTATTAAATTACAGAAACATTGTGCAATGCACCAGTAAATACCAGTCTGGTATTAAATATCGTTATCAGATTATCATTTTTATGAAGCTGATGCAAATTTGTAACAAAATTGATAGCAATCATTGAAGTAACATTCGAATTGAATTTGATACACTATTTTAATGCAAATATTAAATTAAAAGATAAACCTATTGCACCAGGCTAACATTTAATATGTAAATTATCATAGGGATCAACAGAGACCTCTGCTATGGACTCAATTTAATAAAAATTAATTTAAAAAAAATGAATCTCAATAACTATTAATTCACTTTCACCGTGCAAATCAACTCCTAAATGAAACCCTTGACACTGTTAACCACGAGTTCAATGAAACGATCATGAATGAAAACTTCATGAAATCAAGCGTGTTCACTGTTACCAACATTGGTTACTTAACATTGTCTTAGCTGGTTGAACTGTGGGGTCATCGTGTAGGTAGGGACCGTCGCGAGATAAGAGGATCGTGATAAGAAGGTCACGGCGCGGAAGAGAGATGTTGCTTTTCTTATCCAAGGATTTCTTCTTGGACGAAGCTTATCGAACGCAGTTCACGTTGCGTTCTCCGTACAACCTGTTGTTTTTTCGTGGATCGACAACGATAAACAGCATCCAGGACGACACCCTGACGAAGGTGTCGATAATTTTACGTGTTTCTACGCTGGGTCAACGGAAATGGCTGTGTCGCTGACGGATGACGAGCCAGCACAAGATCGACATGCCAATAAACTTCCGCAATACGCTATCATACTTTTGGGTAAGAACTCTTCTAACCCTTTGATCACGTTGCTTTTTACGGTCCAGAGAAATGCAACGTGTTTGTAATTGAAAGTAAACAGACAATATTGCGCGTTTATTATTGCTGCTTATTAATTTTCACGTAAATGTGCTTGAATTAACGATACAATGATAACATAAAGATCCATTAGCATAATAATGCTGAGCATGGAAATCTGTACGAGATACTGGACAGAAAATATGATCGTGTTATGTCGGATTATTCCAAAAATAATGTTTGTTTTAAAAAAAAATGATGTGAATAATTATGCTTTTAGACGTTTAAAAATTGATACGTGTATATTTTGTACCTTATACAAAATAAGTTTGTGTAAGTGAGATAGAAATATTATTTATGGAATGATCTGATCGTACGATAGTATGACGTCAAGAGGATAAATAAAGACACAACATAAAATTCATCAAACCGTTTTGAGAAGGAGATAATGACTTCATTAATTTCATAAATGCTCATCGCTAAAACCAACTGTCCAAATAAAAATAGATCATTTGACACGGTAGCCGTCATGGATTGCGATCAAATATTTAGATACCAACTATTTTCATCGACGGTTATCTAAACCATTCAGAATTTTCAGTCTGTCCATCAAGTGATCATTTCATCCATCATCCATGAAGATATTTCCGTTTTGCATACGATGAACTGCAGCCACGTTGGCCAATTTCTCCATCGGTACCTGTATCGCTTGGATCTCACCGGTTTGGCACATCTACAGCAATCTGGACGTGTCAAAGGTCAACAGACAAGATATTTCGTGGCTGTGTAGCTTGGTGCCTCTTGGAGCTGCGATAGGCAGCCTTCCGGCGGAAGTAATTGCGAATAAGATCGGTCGGCATAGAACCATCAAAATAATCACTCCGTTTCTAGTCGGATGTTGGCTGGTTATCGGTTTGTCGGCCAATAAAGTATGGTGAGTGAAGTGTATTTTCATATTTAGGACCTTAGAACTTTGGGACCATAGAATCTGAAAATCTTAGACCCTAGGATCTTAAGATCTTATGACTTTAGAGCCTTAGAACCTTAGAATTTTGGGACCTTAGGGACCTTAGAATTTTAGGGCCTTAGAACTTTGGGAGTCTGGGTCCTTAGAACTTAGAACCTAAAGACTTTGGCCCCTAAGATTTTAGGACCTTAGGACTTTGGAGCCTTAGTACCTTGGAATTTTGGGACCTTAGGGACCTTAGAATTTTCGGGCCTTAGAACTTTGGGAGTCTGGGTCCTTAGAACTTAGAACCTAAAGACTTTGGCCCCTAAGATTTTAGGACCTTAGGACTTTGGGGGCTTAGTACCTTGGAATCTTGGGACCTTAGAATTTTAGGGCCTTAGAACTTTGGAAGCCTGGGTCCTTAGACCTTAAAACCTGAGGACCTTAGACCCTAGAACCCTAGAAGCTTAGGATTTTAGAGCCTCAGAACCTTGGAATCTTGGGACCTTATGATTTTAGGATCCAATGGAACTTAGAACCCTAGAACCTTCGAAACCCAGTTCATCGAATTAATCTAATCTGTATATCTTTGAAGGATATTCTTGGCACGTTTCGTAGCCGGCATAGTGTGCGGCGCGTTCTCAATCATAATTCCAATTTACTTGACCGAAATCGTGGAGAGAAGATTCAGAGAATCGCTGAGTATGATTTGTCAGCTTCAAGTCTATCTTGGAATCTTGTTCACCTACTTTACAGGTAAAGAAGAAGACTATCGTCACCTCGAAATAGGACAAGGAATCTTTAAAGTAAATCTAACAAGCTTGACATTCACAGGATTCAGTGACGATCAGCTTACGATCGCTCTATTGTGTGCCGTGGCACCAACAATGCTTTCAGTAGCCACTGTCGTTATGCCAGAATCACCTGTTTGGTTGATGGTGCACAATCGCGAAGAAGAAGCTAAAGAAATTATGAAAAGTCTGAGAAGAATCGAGGGTTTAACTCAAGAGGATGCGATCAGAATTGAAAACAATATCGAACAAACTGGTTGTGTGTCAGGATTTAAGGCGCACACCAAAGCTACCATCATCGCGTTCAGTGAGTCATTTCAATTAATAATTTCAATTAAAATTTAAAGTAAAATTTAAAGTATATGGTGATATATCCTCGTTAGAAGAAACCATCACGTGTTCAATTTTTCAGGTTTGATGTCCATTCAACAAATGACTGGAATGAACATCCTCATAGCCTACGCCTCTAAAATATTGATACGTCTACAGTTTCCCTTAAACACGAATGTTGCTTCGATCATCCTGGGACTGGTACCAGTAATCGCGACGTGTTTTTACAAAAACTTACTGACACGTATGAAAATGAAATTACTATTATTTCTCAGTCTATGCGTCATGTCTATCAGCCTGTTCATCTTGTCTGCTTATTTCCGCCTTCAAGTAAGTTAATTACCCAGCACCAATAAATGAAACTTTAACCCTTATCCAAATAGCTGTTTTTTGCATGCAAAGGGTTAAATGAACCCTGACTGAATAAGGGTCGTTCCTTAATCGAACTCGAAGTACTTAAAATGAATTAATTTGTTTTATAGAATACGTACATCGTGTCCAGTTTCAGCTGGGTACCGTTCCTGTCCATCGTCCTCCTCATGGTCGCTTACGCGGTTGGCTGTGAACCAGTGTGCTGGATCCTGATCGAAAGAATCTTTACGAGCGACGTGAGGAACATGGCCATTACTGGTAGTATGGTGTGCAATTGGATTTCTTCGTTCATGTCGGCTAAAGGATTCCAGGATATAGTGTCGCTGATGGAAATTTCAACGGTATTCGCTATGTACGGTATATCTACCTTGATGGGTACCGCGTTCGTCGCTCGTATGGTACCGGAAACGGAAGGGAAAAGCGAGGAGGAAGTGCAGATGGAGCTGCGAGGGTGGAACCAGGAGGATACTGAAGTTCCAACGTGTTGTTAAACTGAAAAAAACGAAACGAAAGTGATGGAGTGATGTGTGATCGAGTGATTAAATGTGATTAGTTGGAATTTGGAACTTTAAGACATTTATTTATGTAATTGTAACCGATCTTAGGAAATTGATTAAAAATTTTAAAGAAACCTAACTCGATGACTCGGATATTGAAAAATTCCTACCAATCAGGAGATAATTAAGGAGTCGAACATCCGAGAACTTTAACGATCATGAATTTATTCGCATATTTATTTCCATTCGTTCCGTTACGTATGGTGTAGACGATATATCACATAATACAATGAAATCGATTCCCAATCAGTCCCTCTGTCCTCGATTATCGACGATGTACGCTCGCTAAAGGATCGATTGCGTTCGTACAAAAATCCCGAGAAAATTTTGTTCGTTAATTAGCATCGATATAACAACACTTACATACGACACGTATCTTCGTTCCTACAGGATATTTCAAAGTGAACCTTCCTCTTCTCACCGAAAAATTGTAAACTTTGAAATATCCTGTAGATTGAAAACAATACGTTGCCGATGTAATTATCACAAATAACCAACGAGGAACAATTGTAAAAAATCTACGGAAACAATGATGAGGCGAACGCTAGCTGTTGAGGGCAGAGGGATCATTTATAGAACGGCGTCAACAGTGTAACGAGAATACTTATTGTAGATGATAACCAGCTGCTTAACATAGCCTTGTGTACACATAAATATCGATACGTACACGTATATATCATAGCGATTTGCATTAATATTCGAACGTTAATATTTAAGTAGTTATTGCTCGACACATTCATTTACAATTACGCTTAACCCTTTCAATATATTAAATCGTTTAACGTAACCCTTGGATGGACCTCACTGAGACATCGACAATTTTACTTTAATTTTAACCGTCAGATTTATTATTATTAGAAATTTGAGCATTTAATTTTTGTCGAAGCACCATGGTACATGTTTCGTAATTCTGGGCTGCAACTGACCTATCCAACACCATACAATAATTAATATTTTATGAATTCATTAAACAGAAATTTAGTTTAACACCCTCGCTACCAGCGTCACGTATATTTCAAGCGTTAAATTTCCCATATGAGCTCTTAATATCCTATTTAAAAATAAAAATGCTACATAATTTTTAAAAATAAGTGCAAGACTTGAATTTACATTATTTAAAAAATTGTTCAATTGAATACCGATAGCAAAGGTGTCAAGTACCCATTTACATCATAACTGTGAATGATTATATGAAGCAATAATTAATATCCAAATATTAACGCAAACCACTGTACGTATTAAATGGATCTTCCTTACGATTTTGTGCTCAACATTGTGCGCTCGCCCAGCGTCACGGCTCACCGCTATAATTCGTTCTCTAAAATGTCTCTTCTCAGTCGATTATCTCCATAGTGTTCCATGGTGGACGTTCATAAAACACAGGGGGAATATTCACGATTGAAACAGTATTATTTATATTCGATAACCATCGTTCTCTGCTTCTTTAACGCGGACGCAATTCACTGGAAACGAAGTAAGACACCGAAGAAGCTCGAACGTTTGTCTAATAAACACGTGTGATATAGTGTCTCATCGTTCATTGATTAGACACGTTGGTGATCCGGCTCGAAGGTGAATCGTGCTCGATTTCGCGGCACGACGAGTTCTCCCGGTTCACGTACACCTGGCAGCAGTGTTCAGAAAGACTGGATCCTCACTTTCGAGGTGGTTGAATCGAAGGTGACGCGCTGTGCGCCACTTCTGGCACGCTACAGTCATCTAGATTCGCTTTGCGAGTGCACCGTCGGTTCCGAGCTTGGATCCGGATCGGAATCGTCTATCGATACACCCTGTTGCGGTACGCGGATCGAGTAGCTGGGACTCCGGTCGTTTCTAAAAGAAACAAGGCTGGTTTTGCGACGGATGCTGATCAATTTATTCGTTAACGTGGAATTCGTCGTTGGAAAGCTTGGAGCTGGTTAATTTTGATCTGGACGTTGATTTTGAGCTTGGATCACTCCGAGGATAGGTAGATTCAAATTGGATCATTTGGAGAACGTTAATTTTGAGCACAGAGCACTTGGAGAGCGTTAATTTTAATTCGAGCCATTTAGTAAAGATTTTTCAGCTTAGACCATTTGGTATGTGTTAATTTCAAGTTGGACTATTTAGGAAACATTGATCTCACGTGTAACTCACCTCATAGCTAATTGGCTTCCATCGCTGCCCCGTCTCAAAGTATTAGCCCGTCGTTTGCAGAAGCACTTGCAGATAATCCTCTTGAACGCGAACCGGAAGTCCTTGCTGAACAACGCGTAGATGCAAGGGTTGATCGCTGAGTTACAATATCCTAACCAGAACAACACACTGAAGACGGTGGGGTGGATACAGTTAGGGCAGAACGCGCGTACAAGATACATCGTGAAGAAAGGTAGCCAACAGAGGATGAATCCTCCAACGATTATACCTAACGTCTTGGCCGCCTTTGTTTCCATGCGAAATCTTTTCACCTGCAACACCAATAAATTTCTACGATTATTAATATTTTAAATCATTTGGAATCTGATGTTTAACGCGTTAAGCTTCAAATTATCTGCCGTTTAATGGTTCCGAAGGAGTTAAAAATTCCGATGGTACATTACCTGGGCCTTTATGTTCCGTTTGCCCATTTTCATCACCCTAGGCTTCTCCTCAGGGCCGGGGGCGAGTTCACGCAGAGACACATCATCCCCCGTCATTTGACTCTCGCAACTGCTCCGTCTGCTCGGCCTCCTGGTGCTACCGACCCTATTGATACCGCTCACCTGTCACGAAGGTCGACTTTAACGACACCATACACCGCGTTTCCTCGCCAACACGTACGCTCGCTCGCCTTGTCGACGCTTTACGACGCTCGTAAAGCACGTTGCTTCTCCTCGGTATCGTAAACTCGAATCCTTGGATAACGTTTACTCCTCTCAACGCTCGCGACCCCTCGCAATAACGAGAATTGAAAAAATTACCGCCTTCCTTAATATGGGGACATATTAAACCACCGACCGTACCCGAAATTCTAGGAGGTGAATGTGTGTAATTATAAATTTCTATGTCTATGACACGTGAGTTCCGGAATCAAAGAGGTATTCAAAGCTCTATAAATTTCCCAGTGTAATTTCAAAAAAGCGAGCGAGCTTCAACCATCGTTAAAAATATTTATCTATTCTAAATCTTAAACTACAATTCGAATATTGAGTTATTGATAAATGATCGAAAGATTCTTTATTCTAAATTTTGTCTACGAGACAGATGACATCTTGTACCTTGAGGTGCGTACTCCTCGGGGTGGGACAAAGCTGGCTGTGCGTTTGTCCGTTGCTATAATGCACGGAAGTCTGCGAACATCTCGAGGGTGTCCTCTCGAGAGTGTTGCACTTTGTATTCAACGTCTCTGTACTCGGATAAGAGACAGAGATTTTTATCTTCTCTCTTTTCACCGAGCTACGGCTATTCGACTCCGGACTTCTCGGGCTACCGTTGTTGCTGCCGTTGTGAACGCTTCCTCGACCTCGATGGATCCTCAGGGTCAACCTTTGTTCGTCGAATCTGAGGGAAAATTCGCGTAAAGGATATGTATCGAAAGACAGAGGTACTTTAAGGTATTTTCAGCTTCGTTTGATGTTCTGTTCTTTAAAAATGAATTCTAGCGAAAATGATCATAAAAATAGGTGATCGTTAAACAACGAAAGGTAGTACGGAGGAAAGGCGCGATCAACGTTGTTTCCGGATCAGTCATGATTGAAAAGCTTCAGAGGAATAATGGTAACGCGTCGAGTGGTTTTTCTTTCAGCTTCGATCGTTGAAGAGGTCTGCCTTTACCTGGAGCCGAGCATTTTCGAGCCCTTTGTCGTGCGGAAACCCTGATTAATGGCCTTCGTGGTAGAGACCGCCGCGTTGTAGATCCTCCAGTAGAAAAACAGCATGACCAACATCGGTATATAGAAAGAGCCGAGAGCGCTGGAAACGAGATACAAGGGTAACAAAGTTTTTAATTTCAACCACCCCGATGAAAGCCAGGATATAATTCCTTTTGCTTCTATCTTCCGAACGTTTTCCAGCTTAACACAGCCACCTGTTAACGCGTTTTTCCTTTCGTTTATACGATTATCCAAGGATGAATTAATGAGATTGTCTTCTGGACAATTCGGATTATTTCAAACGATAAAAACTTTATTTCACCCAGAATTAGACAGACTATCGGTAAAAAGGAGGAACGAGGGGAAAAAACTGAAATATCACGATCAGAGTGAAAATGATAACGCTGCCAGGTAGGATCGTAAATTTGTCGGGCGCACACGATGGAACACATTAACCAGTCTACTTGTCGGTTTGATTTAGATGCGCCGCGTCGCGCATAAACCGGCGCGGATTGATGGATGCACCGATCGCGATAACGCGGTAAGAATAGACCGGGATGCTTGGCAGAAATTCAGATCCCGGCTCTTGACATCCTAATAATTCCCGTTTCCGCTCTGGATCCACCGAATTCGGCTATGCGAGCAATCTCGTTCTCTCGCTCTGTTTCGAGCACGCCTCTGTTCCGTCGTGCATCCCCGAATGGAAAAAAGTTCATTTTCATCGCGATCATTCTGTGAACGGCTGTACAGAGATATAAAATATTGAAATTTTCAAGCCTCCGTTCTGGTGAATTTAAACCCTGAAAATGACGATTTTCGGATCTTGGGAATTACAACTGGTGGAAATCTTTATTTGCTAATTCAATTTGGAAATTTGAAATTATTAAGCTTCGAAATCCCTGTTTTGAAAGCTTAGAATTTCTAAGCTCGTAGAACTTTGGGTTTGCTAAGCTTGGAATCCTCTGCTTTATTTCTGTTTTGACTCACCTGTAGACCACGTAACCAGCATCGTTGGTCAGCTCGCAGATCCAAGGACACGGTTTCACAGGGACGAGAATGGTAGTAGTGTTGAACGGTCCATTCTGCGCGAATGTCATATTGTACGTGGGGTGAGACTATGGAAGAAAAACAGGAGGAAGGGACTAGTAAGACGCTCTGTATAACGAGGGTGAAGATTGTCGAGCTGCTAGTTACCCGTTTGTCTTTCCAACCGACCAGGGGTGGGAAGCAGATGACGAAGCTGAGGATCCACACGGTCGCGACCAACAGTCTGGCTCTTCTCGGTGACATGATCTAAATTTCAAATGAAACTTAACATGGAATTCTTATGAGCAAGTTAGAACTATGAATCAGTATTTATAGAATTTCAAATTTCTTCAAAAACTATGAAATTTTGCACATATACATAGGATATCAAAAATCAACTTTACATGGAAATTTCAACATCGCATCTGATATTCTAATTATTAAAAATGGGAAAAACTTAATACACTACCGTGCGTTGCTGAATTTTAACATAACACGAATTATGAATCAATATTTATAGAATTTTAAATTTCTTCAAAAACTATGAAATTTTGCACCTGTCAAAAATCAGCTTTACATGGAAATTTTTAACATCGCAGCTGATATTTTAATTATTGAAAATGAGAGGAAGTTAATAGAATACTCTGCGTCGCCGACTCTCCGGACACGGATATAGTGTGTTCGACTTTATAGGTAACGATCGATCGGATTGTTCGATAGAAAGGTCGGTGGGTATTTGAAGAGAACAAGAGAAGCCTTAAGAGACAAATGGCTCGATCGACCGTTTCGAAGCGTACACCTGTTCCTCGAAATCGAATAATCGGTAAATGGTACTTGCCTGAGGATAACTGACTGGCCTGGTCACCGCTAAGTATCTATCCAGGCTGATGGCGCATAAATTCAATATCGATGCTGTGCACATCCACACGTCCACTGCCAGCCACACGGAGCACCATAGATCACCGAATATCCAGACCTTCGAAAAGTAATCACAGATGGTTCCATTAGTCGTCGTAATCGCTTTCCCATTCAAGTCAATTACAGATTGAGAACAACAAAGGGAAGAAATTTCTTTCTCTTTCATTCTCGATTAACAGAACACTTTTGTTCTCTTTCATGCTTGGTAAAATATACAAATTTACAATTGGCAAATTGATAAAATTATAAAAGATGTAGTTAATTTTGTACTGTATCGCTCTTCCAGTAAATCCATCACATAATTTCAAAGGATTATCTGAAATGCTGCTCCATTTCGTTCGATATAAATTCTTCCAAATGATTCTATGGTTTCTCGTTATCCTCTCGACGAATGTGTTATACAGTTACGTTGGAATCCCCAGTTTCAACCGTATATCCTTCACACGATACAATACCTTCATTCATCCCCATTCACCGTTCCAATCTCCTCGTCTTTCCGAACACCGAAGCCAATATTGTATCGAGATCCGTTTGCTTCGGTGCTCGGTAAGCGGCGTCTGTTTTTGAAATTCATACGTTTTCGTCGTCCCAAGACTTATTTCAGATTTGTTCGTACCAGACGCGAGTAACATTTCGATTCGGCGTAAGTGAAACACGAAGGTAAGTTGGAAACGTTTCATAAACCGTGTTGTATTCTCAGAGATAGAGTCGGGGCATGCGACGAAATGTAATAGGATTACGAAGAGAGACTTGAAATTGTGATAGCAAAATGAACGTCCATAGAAATTATTTATAATGCCGTGTGCATTTGTAAAATAGCAGGGCAAAGTTCCGACCCAGTCGTAATTAGAGGGACGGCTAATTGAAATAAATGTAAAATTTGAAAGGTTTCAAAAAATATAGTATGCTCTTTTATATTCAAAAGAAGCGAGGATTTTTATATTTTTATATTTTGAAGCATGAAAATTCTAGGAAATTTAATTTCTTATATTAATCATATCCTTTATGAGAGAAATCTCGTCAGATTTCATGAAAAAATTCGCGAAACATGTCATGGATTATGGAAAATCGTGTACCCATTATCCAACAGAGGCGACCCATTATTCTCGTCTAAGACGAGAATGCATCCTGACATGTCGATCGGCAGCAATTCCTCGACAGGATGATTGTGCACGTAATGGAATGCACCCTCTTCGCGAGTGGGCGCAGCAGGTGCAACCGAGATTGCAACTAACTGCACGCGCTTGGAATCGCGTGTACACGGTGGTCGGTGCAACCACCTGTTTCGAATTACCCTCGACTCCTGTGGCTTCGTCGTTGTTCAATTCGATTAATCAACCACCGTAGCAGACCCTGACACCGTTGTTGCCCACGTAATAATGCTGCTGATTCTCCATTGTTATTAATACTACTGGCAGGGGTGGCAATATCCTCTTAACCCATTGCGCATTGTTCGTAGATACTGTCGGGTGACAAGTTTGAAAAATTGGGGATTATTGATCTATGGATTATGTACTTGATAAATGCTTTACCGTCATATTTCTATCGTGCCTGTTGATCGATAAAAGTGGACTTTATTAACCTTCGAATGTACGCGCATCATAACGGACCTCTATTTCCTGCGCTTAATTTAATCGATAATTATTTCCTGCCTGTGTATTTAGAACACTGCTGCAGAGTCCTTCCTTCCCTCGTTCTGCTGCTACTGCGTTTATTTAATCAAAGAGAGTAGAGAAAGAAAGAGATGGTATATATTTTTCAATATACTTTTCTTCTGCTGCTTCTCTTTTTTCTCTTTTTCTGTTGGCTTCTTTACAGTTTCAAGGGAATATTCAGAGTGTCCCATGATCACTAATCCTCCTCTTTTCTCAGTTGCAACTTCTTTTCATTTTTTCGTTTAATGGTAATTTTACCACCTCTTTCAGATGTTTTAATTACGAGTACCTTTTTAATTCTTCTTAATTATTTTTTATTTTTTACACGGATTAATAAGTTAAATTAGAATTGGACAGAAAGCTTTGGAAATAATTTGAGCAATTGCTGATACATCTTTTAATTTTATTTTTGTGTCATTATTTTATTGTCGAATATTCCGGTTTCTAAGATCGAGGTAGAAGTGTCACAACCCTCTGCACCCCTTTTCCGGCGCGAACGTTCGTCTTTCGGGGCGTGCAGCTAGGAAGAAACGAAGGGCGAAAGCCAGCAAACTGTTGCGCTTAACCCACCCCTTTCCTCGACGAACCGTGTTCCCACAGTTATTTCGTGTGCACCCTTTTTGCTGCGAATTCTTCCAGGCACGATGGGGTGTTACGAGGGTGGTTAAATATATCCGACCGTTTTAATAGTTCAGATAATTGTTCCGAGATATTTTCGCCCGACTTTCTCACCCCCTGTTTTGAGAACAATTGGAGTGACTTTTTTTAGCAGAATATTTCTTTTTTTATTCTTGCACCCTTTCACATTAAAAACGTTCGTTTTCCTCTAATGGAACATATAAAATCCTAATGACACATGTACGTCCCAGAGACTACTTTGCAAATGAAAAGTTCTAAAAATACAATAATTACCATTGATGCGACTGAAAAAAATTGAAACTTCATTATAAGCTAACTCGTGTTACGTTTAATTTTTAATTCACGAAACAAACACATAACCGGTGTACAAAGGGTGAAACTGTAACTCCAACAGTAAACTTCCATCGTGCTAAATTTTTCATTCGTGTAGCCTGTACACTTCGAAAGTCAACCCCTACGGTGGTGAATTTTTCATAAATGAAATCTCGAGTAGAAAATCGCTCCGACTCGTGCACGCGAAAAAATTTATCAATAATCTTTGTAACAAATAGAGGATCAATAGCTATCATATAATATTTGAATACAAGATTATTGTTATCCTATGACTACCATCAAATATTCTATCGCGGACCGTGAAGTTTCGAATTTCACTACTGGAAATTCGAGCCAACGGATTCGCCACTTTGAAAATCACTAACTCATCGTCTCTGCTCCAATTGATGTCACTGTGCTAGTCGTCTTGCTGCTCGAAAAAAGGACGATCGATTGCACTGAATGGACGGGAGATCAAAGAATGACGATACGAACAATGAAAAATTGTGAACAGTCGATAGGGGTGGAGTTCTGCTTGGAAACCAACCTCGCCTTTGAACTCGTCCCTACTCTGAACGATTTTTCTTTTTTCTTTTTTTTTTCATTTTGAATCAGGGTTAGGATATTACCCTGCAATACTGTCAACAGTGACACAGTTTCATCTACCCTTCTTTTTTTTTTGGAATCGTCGATATTAATATTCTATATGTATATTTTGAATAAAAATTAATTAAAAAAGGAACGTACGACTCACCTTGAAAACCTCCCACGTGGCGCTAAAGGGTAGCACAGCCAATCCGACCATCAGATCAGCCACAGCTAGACTAACAATGAACATATTCGTGACGTTTCTCAGTTTGCTGGTGTGATAAACGGCCAGTATAACCAGCACGTTGCCTAACACCACCATCACGTTCACGATCCCCAGGATGATCAATGTAACGAGAATCCAGGGCCCGGACCACTCGACGCGCTCGTACAAAGCAGCGCATGCGGTGGCGTTCAATTCTCGCATTTTAGTTGGCAAGATCCTGCCGCGTGTCCCTGGGATCCTCACGTAGCAGCTCGATACAACACTTCCGGTTGAACGACGGCCTGGAAGGCGACGCTCGAACGACTGTACACGAAGGACACCTTACGAATATCTGGACCTCCATCACGGACCTCCCTTTGATCGATCGATCGACCATTGATCATCGACTAGTCTTCAACCGTGTCATCGTTGCTCAACTAAAGGGTTGTTCCGTCTCACCCTTTAATCATTTTTTTTTTTCAGTCAGCAGATTTTTATACAGGTACCTTGATTTTAATTTCCGGTGGATTTGATTTATTTGATCATTGATTAATCTTGAACCGTGTCATTGTTGGTGATGGAGGAACTAAAGAATCACTGGGTCTTTTATGAAACTTGAATTCTTTATCTAGGTATGTTGGTTTCAAAATTTCTAGTTAATTTGTTCATTGTCTGGTCCTGAATCATATGAAAGTTGACTCACTGGTATAGGTATCTTCGATTTTAATTTCAAAGGGTTGAAATATAGATTATGTATAGTTTGATTTAAATTTTAAATAAATGAAGTTGTTTTTGTCATTATATTTAGTAGATGTTGCTTGGTATCTTTTCTTTTAGTTTAGTCTTATCTCAAGTTTCATTTATTGTATCCTTCAATCTCTTCTTAAGATTCTAGGATGCACCGGTCGTACCTGTCCCTTTATTCGATTCTTTTCACCGGGCAGCCAGTTTTGTGCATCGGTTCTACCTTTTTGAAACCAGTCGCTTCCTAAGAAGACGTTCTTTGTGAAACTCGTTAAATGGATAAAGCTGTTGCCACCCCTGGGACCGGTGGATTAGGTTTGATCGATCAATTTAATTACCCAGTTTCTTCCGACGGTAGAATCCCGCTAATGGAACTGCTTTGCTGAACAGTCGCGCGACGAATCGGTCATCTCGCCCTTCCACCCTTTCCCTATAATAAATGTTCCTGTTTCCTCAACGAAACGTCCTTAGAATACTCCAACGTTCACCGGTTTCCGCTTGGCAAGTTCAAAATTTGATTCCATGAAAACACATCATTGTTGCACACTTTTTCTTTCTTCAACAAACACCGACTATTTAAATACATGAATTAGCACAAGGAATTTCACTTCGATTCACAGAACGAGGCCAATGGCTATTCACAACCCTTAACACGTTCCAACTCTTGAATTACACGAATGTTCGCAAAAAAAAAAAAAAGAAAGGAAGAAAAAGGTTTCGTCCCAGCTTCGAACCCCATCAACCCCTTCTAATTGAAATTCTGTTTCAACCTCGCCCGAACTTTTTCTTTCTTCGTTACAGGACACCAGTGGCCCCCGGTTCAATTATTTCACCGACTCTTCCGGTCTCGTCAACCCCTTCTCTTCTAATTCAAGTTCAGCCGGACACCAAATCGACTTGTCCTCGCCACGACAGGATTCCACTCGATCTATTTCCAAGCGTCAGCCGCTCGATTCTTCCTCTTTTATCCCTTTAGACATCCGCTTCCGGTTCATCCTCTGTCCAGCCCCGTTCATCTCGTATCGTCCAGCAACGTTCCCATTTCCGTATCACGATTTTACTGCATCGAGGAAATCGTCCTGACACGCTGACGCGGCTCGTTCCACCCTCGTTCCCCTTTCATCCTCTCACCCCCTTCCAAACCCCCATTGAGCCAAGAATTTTTTCACCTCTTCTCTGAATCGCCTCGTTCCCTATCTCCTCACACCCATCCAACGTAGAATTTCTCGACTTCCGTCGGGTACGACCCCTGCGCCCTACGACGTTCAGATGCCGTTTTCTTGAATTGAAACAGGGTTACAATTGATATTATTATTTCTCTTGGGTCGTCGAGCGATATTGCTGATTCTCTGAACAGTTTTATCTTGCTTCAGCAATTCTCAAGGTGTGAGAAACCGAAGAATATCATATTTTTAGCGGTGTGAAAATTTCTGGTAACGCAATTTAATATTTCATAAGCTCGAAATATAATTTCCTTACGCTTTATTATCTTGGATTATTATTTTCTTTCTTAGGTGTACAGGATTGTTCTTCGAGTTTCAAGCAGGTTTCTTCCTCTTTTATTTTAACCTTGAAGTAACCAGTGAACTTCAACAGACAACAAAGTTTCACCCTTTTTACTTCAATCTTCAATTGTTCCGCGAGTTACGGATAACTTTTTCTTCGTGGAACTTTCTTTTTCTTGGAATGCTGACAACTCGAGGGTACGTCGTATGTTTTCTTCGAGTTATTCAGCAATTTTCTTTTCTTTCGGAACACCTATTTACAAATCATCAGATTCAGGGAAATTTCCATGGTTCCAAAGTGTTTCTATTTTTCGGAGGAACTGTTTCTTAGGCTCTATGCAGTTAAAATTGTGTACCGAGGTCTCTAGAAAGGCAATTTCTAGAGAACGATTCCCATTGGACGAGCTTCCCAAGGGACACGCGATCAATAGCGAAGTTTACAATCATCCGACGTATTCTTCTCGGTTTCGAGGCTCGATTACCGTGTTTTATCAGACGCGTTTCACAGCCACGATTATCCTCTTCGTTTGTGCACGACTAAATGATTTTCCGACACTTGGCGCGGTGCGTGTACCTCAACAGTCTGAAGCGTGTCTCCTCGATACGCTTCGCTCGCATTATTTCCAAGATCCTCTGAGCTCCTCTGGAGATATTTCAACCGGGGGCCACGTTGCTCCGAGATGTTCGGTATGATCTGCGAAGAGAAGAAAATTCGATGCGTTAGATGATAACCACGGGAAACGAGGAGATGGAATTTTTAGAAAATTCAGAAAACGAATATAAAAGTAAATATAAAATTAAATTTCAATTTTAAATCATACGTTGGGTCAGAAAATTTTTATTCTCTCTTTTTAAAACGCCGGTCACTAGGGTAGTACATTCAATGGAGCAAATTACGTGGGCGATTTTCAGTGGTTAGCGGTCGATTACCAAAAAAAAAAAAAAAAAAAAAAATGAGGGGAAGAGAGGAAGGGAAAGCCAGTAACGAAGAAGACAAAAGATGAAACGTCTGGCTGCCTTAATTCGTGAAACGCAGCCTCGCGTGAATTTGCATTTCAGCAATCCTTCCCAGCCTGGTCCAACCCCCCGTTTCTCCGCCCCCCGTTTTAGCTCGCTGCGTGAACGAAATCATCTTTCGGCCGTGATACACGGCGGACTGGTCTTCAAACATTTCGTTCGAATTGCACCGCGTTTCTATGCGCTTTTCGGTACGACGAAATCACCGGGGAACCGTGGTTCACGCTGGAATAGAAACGCTGTCTCGCTTTGGAACTCGCTCAGGCTTTTATTAAGCGCGATTCACAGCGATACGAATCAAAGTACTAGCGAACGACGAATTTTATATATATATATATATATTTTTTATACCTATATCGTGTGTTCTTTGATAAATATCAAAAATCGACTGCGTTCCACGTATGAAGTTGCTTCGAATGTTTAAAATCACCGTGAACTTCAATTTTTATTTGTACTTGTATTTTAGAGTATTTTTGCGTCCGAAACATTTAGTTGCCTAATTTCCCAAATAATTTCCATGAAAAAAGGATAGAGAAAATTATGAAGATTCTCGGCGGGTCAAACCCTTTGTTTCTCTTTTCCCAAAAGAGGAGCTGTAAATCCGTGGTCAGACGGAGGGGTAGCTTCCATATTTCGTCGAACGCATTCTCGTTGAACGAGAACAATGGAGGGCAAAGGCTGTTTCGTCGGCTCGTTTCTGTCGAAATATGTAAACCGGTGCAGAGGCTGGTTCGAGAGGAGAGGTGGATGATGCTTTTCCTCGTTCCCTACCACACAAACGCACGACAAAAGCCTTTTGCCGAGTTCACGGCACCGTGAAAGCGTTCCTCCTCTATTAATTAGCTTTTCCTCGCGCGCGTAACCGTGTGTGGAAGAGCTTTGAACGAATTGTTTCCGTGCATCCCCCGACAGAGACCTTATTAACAGAGAGACGAGGAGGAGTTTCGGTTAAATTAAATGTCGACATAATACCGTTGACATTTCGCGAAGCCATGAAGCGCAAGGAATATTGCGTTTTTCGCGAGATTTCCACCAGAAAGAGAGAGAGATTGTAAGCTTCGTTTGTCCTTTCATCATCCACCATTTCACATCCATTCGAAACTACCGGGCTTAAGCTCAAGTTTATTTTTGACTTTGCCAATCAACGGGAAGAAGAAACATTGTTGTACTTTACAGGCTTTATCCGGGAAAGAAATATCTACGTTTCCATGAAATTTTCACTGAGAAAATTATACCATTCTCGGAAGTTTCTTTGAATCTCCTGCCTGGAAATTCTATTGTTTTCCAGGATACTCGATATAAAAACGAATCGTGAATCAAAGGGGTGAATATTGATGCGGTCGCTTCTTCCAACTGCATTATATTCGAGGATAATATAAACCTTTCCGTCGCGAGAGATCTAAGACGAAATGGGATTGGATCGAAAAAAAGGAGAAACAAGGGGTGGCTTTCAGACTGCCTCGATAATAGCGCATTTTCGTGTACCAAGATTTACCGTTCCGAAGAAACTTTTAGCAGAGCAAATAAATGTCTATGTCATTTTACGGAACACCCTGTTTTACCTGGAATTCTGACTTTCTGTTTCTATTAATTGAGACGACTGCACGAAGATTCAGTAATTAACAGGATCGCCCTTTCGACCCTCGTTGCAGAAAATAAACATTTTGAAGAAATAGATTTTCTAAAATGTTTAAAAGAATTTAATATTAATTTCGCCCTTTTTTAACTATTCAATTCCGTCCTTGTATCGTCGCGTTGAAAAGGCAGCCCTTCTTCTGACCAACGATTTCGATCGCGTCGACACGCGACAGGAAGCAAGGGGATGAAAATGCCAGTGGCACGGTTTCTAATACAACCGCGACGACGACGCGCTCATCTCGTATGCATGTGCTGAAGCCTTGCAAGAGGCTTCGCCTTTTGTGCAAAATATAGCTTGGTACACTTGTACCTAGGCGAACATCAATTGCAACCCTCCTCGCGATGTTCACGACGCTGCTTCTGTTTGATATTCTAAGATATCATGAATCTTAAAGCGTCTTCTTTCACTGTTTACACTCGGATCTTTACGCTTTTCCTCGTTGATTCAGCGCCACTGAATTCGACGATTCGCTTGTCGTTCGAAGACGAGAGAAGTCACAAGACGATTTTAAGCGATAAAACGCGGGAAAGATTCGTTAGAAAATTAAAGATAAATAAATTTAGTGGACGATTTAGAGAAATAATAGAAATTCAATGATGGAATGTACCTAAGTTCCAAAGATTTTGTTCTAAACATGATTCCTTTCCTATATTTAACGATACCTCAAATTTTGTACAATTGAATAATTAGTAAAAGTAGAGAGAAGGCAAACTTTAAATAGTTTCAGAAAATTAACTGATCGTATCTTTAATAATTACAGGATCAGTATGTCTGTGGCAGTCGCGTAATAACAAATCACAAGTGTCTGACCATACGCTGATTACTCCACTTACTGCAATATTCTCTATCAGCTAATCTTTGCAAACTTCACGTTCCAAGACTCAGATTCTACTATCTCATACTTAAAACTCTGTAGAATACTTCCCAGAACTTATTTCTTTCACAACTTTCCAACTCTTCCCATATCTCCCACGTCTGACCACATAAGACTTATACTACTTGATCTCAGCCTTCATCTTCCCAATTTCGAGTTCATCTCTATTTTCAAATATACAAATTCTCATCTGTCGATGTATCCTTGATATTATAACGCAGTTACGTATTTATTTAGTACAATGAAGTTGATTTTCGAGTAAATTATAATTACCTGCTGGCACCGCGCTCATTAGAATATAAAGTACTTGCTTTGTAACATCGAGTTACACTAGTGACGTGAATTACGATGCAAATAGAATCTCCCAGTGTCTATTAATCAGCAAAAACACGATTTATAAAAACACTTTTTATAATTTCCTAAAATTTGATTTTATAGAAATTTTTATTTCTAAAATAAATTCTATAAAATTGATTCTTGTCTCTTGAATCGCGTAATCTCGTTCGTTGGAAGAAAAAGGTCCCAGTTTCGAATATTGAGTTAAGACATAGCTGAAAAATGTGTAGCAGAAGCACAGGGTAATTTCGAGTCACCCTTGAAAATTGATAAGCTTCCTTCCGCATCCTCGTTTAATTGCAGCTTGATTCGTAGCTAAGAAATTGCTCCTTCTCCTTCGTTCGCTTTAAGTTAAATTAAGCAGCTTCGAGAGGAAAAACTGCTCTCGCGAATCCGTTCAACGATCCTTTCGACTTCCAACTTTCGACGCGAAAAACTTTCCATCTGTCTTGAAAATATAGAACAGCTGTACCACTGTATTTAGAAACGACCGGCAATTAACACCACCATGGAAATTCAATTTCACCGGTTCGATCCGGCAGAAATTCATTTAATTGAACGTTGATTGTATCCAAATATTAGAAGAAGGATTTCGGATTAATTTTATAATTGCTTCGTGTGATGAAACTTTCAAGGATGTTTGGAAAAAGTGAAAAACTTTGGCAGGAGCGTGGAAACGCGTGTACAAAGGACGTTATAGGTATTGTATGATCAGTTTTACCAGTTTGATCCTCTCGTCTCCAGTTTGTTGCGATTGAAAGGGGATTGTTCGTTGAAAATTTGAACGAAACCAATGCCTAGTTATCGATACCTCGCAATTTAGATTTGATCGACCACGATTTACCATAGATCACGGTGAAAATAATCCATCGATACTATGATTTGATTGACACTGGCAAGAATTTCGTCGTTTAACGAAACGTTTCCAGTAAAAAATATTTCTCGCAAGATTATAGATGGAAAGGGTGGTATTATGACATCCTACGATGAAATTTAGTCGCAGATAATCTTATTAGTTCACCTACATTTTAAGCAAAAATGTAAAATGAATTTAAAGGCAAAATTATCTCTTCTAACAGTTTTCCCTAATTACCCCATCTGTAATTATCCCACACGATGATTAATGCTTTCCAGTCTAAATTATATTCTACCCGTTTGATTAGACACGACCTTAATCTACTTACAAATCAAACACACATTAATTATTTTTGATAATGCAAACATTGATCTACTTCATTATACAAAACGTAAATCATTTTATTCTATCGGATTGTCTGACCGCATACGGACCCGTTCTACTAACCGAACCGAGATGACCTTATTTTACTTATTTAACCAGATTCATTCTACTTGTCTCATTATTGTTTCACCAGAAACAACCGCGTTCCATTTCTCTGGCCACAATCTGGTCAAGAACGATCCCATCCCATTTGTCCGGTCACTGTTTAACGAGAAATGGACCTGAACTAATTGTCCGACAATTAACTTGCTAAGAAATGTACCACTGCAGTCTGATCATTGTTTAATGAGGAACAATGCTGTTCTCAATCATGTCTGACCAAAAACAGTTCTACTCTACTTGAATGATGAATCTTGAATATTTCTTTAAAAATTGAAATTTGTTTTTATTTTTATTTTTCAAGTATTGCATATTTTTGATAAGAATTATAATTTTATTTTCGTTGCTTGAGAATTGGACTATGAATTATTGTAAGGTAAAGATCATAAATTACAGATCAATAGGAAGCGATCAAATAGTATTGATTATCACGGACGATTTCACGCCGATAGCCGTCGAATTTGTAATCAGTATGCTCCACGTGGAACA